GGTAGTGACGATGATGTTAATTCTGAAAAAGTAGAAGTCCAGTGCAATAGTGATAGTGATGAATATGAAAATGAAAATGTACAATTGGTATCAGACGATTTACGACCGAAAGAARACATCGAGAGCAGAAAAGTACATGAAAAAGAATACAACAACGACGATTCAGGTAACTAGCCACAAAATATTAATGATAAATTACGAATTTATTTAGTTATAAACACAGCTTCAAAAATTAAAAATTATAAGTTTCCCTCTAAAGATGAAGGTCGCAAATTTAGCGTAATACATTATAATAGAATAATGTCCAATGGGGGGAAAATGTGATTAGAAATTGACTTTTGTATTCTAAATCTCTTAATCGAGTATTTTGTCTCTATTATTGTCGTTTGTTCCCGTCAAAGTCTACATCATCTTTGGCCTCCATAGGGTTTTCAAATTGGAAACAGATTAGTGAACGTTTAAAAGAACATGAATTATCTATTCCGGATAATATGGCTCAAGCAAAATGGATACAATTACGTATGGGACTTGATCTTCATAAAACTGTAGATAATAATATACAAGATAATTTAAATATTCAAAAAGAACGTTGGCGTAGTATTCTTAAACGTATTATTGCATGTATAGAGTTTTTAGCAGAACATAATGACGCTTTTCGTGGTACAAGTTCTAAATTATATACAGCGAATAATGGTACATTTTTAGGACTAATAAAAATGATTGCGAAATTTGATATTATTATGGCCGATCATTTGAGACGCGTATGTTATGATGAAATACATGATCATTATTTAGGATCTAGGATTCAAAACGAACTTACTAGTATTATTGCCACAAAAATACGTGATGAAATAATTAATCGCGTTAAACAAAGCAAATACTTCACGATTTTATTAGATGGAAMACCTGATAAAAGTCATAAGGAGCGGCTTACATTTCTTTTACGTATTGAAGAAATTTCGAAAAATTTTAAATATGAAATAAATGAATACTTTATATGCTTTATTCACWCTTCAAATAAGTCTAATTCAAATTTAACAAAGGAAATAAAAGAACAATAACAATTAATGAACTTGGACCTGAAAAATTGCCATGACCAAGCATACGATAATGGGCAAATATGGTTGGCCGAAAACGGGGAACATCTCGAATTATTTCAGAGAACCCAAGAGCTTTTTTTGTACCTCGTCTGTACCAGCTGTTATAACATTTTTTGGCGTAATTCAAAGAATTTATACAATGTTCAGTGCTTCTACTGAAAGATGGACTATTCTTTTAAAATACGTTTMAGACTTTACTTTAAAACCAACGTCAGATACCAGATGGGAATCTCGAGTTGAATCGATTTAACCTATTCATTTTTAATTATGCCAAGTATACGATGCTTTGTAGAAGTCAGTGAGTTAACAAAGGATCCTAAGATAAAAAGTGAAAGTTCGTCTTTGGCAAATTATGAATTTTCTTTTGATTTTMTTTTAAGTGTTGTTATTTTGTATACCAACTGCTATTAATTCTGTCATCTACGCAAAGCAAGCGGTCCACAGCATTACAGGTTAAATGTCAGCCCCATCAATCGAAGACTAAAACGTGGTCGTCCCCATGATGTCCTAAAGTAGCTTATATTCAACCTAGTTAATTATTACATTATATTATGTTAATACCTTTTTTATAAATAGCCAAAAAAAAAAAATTGTACTTTATATAACTAAGTTTAGATGATTTTGTCAGGAAAACTTTATAATTAATAAAAAAAAAAAAATCTGCTATTAATAAAGTTAGTAAGTGTCTTCAAAGTGAAAACATGGAACTGAGTAATGCTGTTCAATTATTAAGTGGTCTTGAAGATTTTTTTAATAATTTTAGAGAAAAGGGGTTTGAGTTATCAAAAAAAACTGCACAACAATTATGTGAAGATATTGGAACTCAACCAATTTTTAAACAATCTAGAGTTCTAAAAAAAAGTAAGCAGTTTGATTATAAATGTAATGATACACGAACGGTTTCTAATGAACAACAATTTTATCAAGATTATTTTTTGGCAGTGGTAGATCAAGCAATTATATCAATTAATCAACGATTCGAGCAATAATCTCAATATTCAGAAAACTTTGGATTTTTATATAATATTGAAAATTTGAAGTTATTTGAAGATGAAACATTAGGAAAACATTGCATGGATTTAGAAATATTATTAAAGGACGGTGAAAATTGCGATTTAAATGAAACTGAACTTTTTGACGAATTATAAATATTTTTTAGAATTTTGAACAAACAAAAAACCAGTAYCGAGTTTCTTGATTTAATAGAATCAACATGTAGTTCATTTCCAAATATTTCTATCGCGTTAAGAATTTAGAATATTATTAACTCTTCCGATAACCACTGCAAGTGCTGAGAGAAGTTTCTYCAAGTTAAAAATCATTAAGAATTATTTGATAACAACAATGGTGCAAGACCGACTTTCTGATTTGGAAATTATTTCAATTGAACGTGATTTGTGTGAAAATGTAGACTATGACGACATTATTGAAAAGTTCGCACTTCACAGAAATAAAAGCCAGAAAAAATAATTTTTGATGAATAAAATGATTTTTACGGTATTTTTTAGTATTTTAATTCGTCTGTTTATTGTTGTTTTATTAAAATGAAAATTTGTATAGTATAACTTATTTTATTACAGAAATCCTTTGACATTATAAGACAATCGTGTGGGCCAAACGATCACCCAACAACTCCAACTTTTCTACATCTATATAAAATTCTTTCTGTTTATTCTGTGCTTAAGCTTCCTAAACATGACAACTGTACAATTACAACTATGGATGCTCCTAAAATTTCTCTATCTSACTTAAAAGAAATTTTTCATAATAAATCTTTTCAACGAACTGAAAAAATTAACCAACTCAAAGTAAAATTAGATCAATTAATTGAAGATGGCCTATGGGAACCATGTGATGTGCTTCCTCAAGTTGAAAATAGCATGGAAAATAATACCAGAGATTGTTTCATCTACTATATTTGTGGGTATGTGACTAAACAAATTTWAAAAAAGCAAAAGTATAATGAGTGCACAAGTTATTTTAAAGAAGGCAACGCTGATCATCCCTGCGCCGAACTAGTTAATTTAAAAACAAAGGGGAAGCTGATGTATCCAAATACTGCTTTATTTGAATTTTTAAACATTGTTGAACGCTCTTTTGCAAAACACTGTAATGATTTTTATGTATTTGAAAATGTAATCAATGATATAACTCAAAATAATTTAAATTTTAAATTCAGCTGTTCTATTTGATAAAATTGAAGTTGCTTCTGAAGTTATAGTGTATTACTTACAAATGAGAAAGCGCYAGCATACATACCAAGAAAATCTCAAATTCCAAAAAGTTGCAAGAGAAAAGAAAAAAATTGCTAAATTATACAATTCATAATTTTTATAAATATCAATGTAGGTACTTATAAAATTAATTAAAGTGCAAAGTGAATGCTAAATATGCTTATTTCTATGCTTATTTAACAAACAAATTGCAATGACAATGAATTTATTTAACATACTTAATTTATTTTCCAGGCTACATGAATCTTCACTTTCATAGCTTGACTGGGGGACAAGGAAGAAACCTCTACGCGGTGTTCCCCAGGCAACAGTGAATCTAACAGTCCACTGGCTAATTCTTCCACACCCAGGCTCATACTCATACTCATACTATGTCCACTCCACCTAGACGACTTTTAAAAAGACCCTTTTCAGGGCCATCTCTGACGATAACCTCATGTAATATTGAGGGGATTAACTCAAACAAAGAGGACCTACTCGCGGTAATGTGTAAAGAGACTAAGTGTGACGTCCTATGTATACAAGAAACTCATAGGACCGAAGTAATGAAAACTCCGAAAATAATTGGAATGAAACTTGTAAACATMAGACCCCATAAAAAGTA